CATGAAATATTAGGTTAAGCGTTTGAATAGTTGAGTACGATCTTAAGTACGGGGTTGAGTATGAGTGGATAAAAAATATATATAATTATTTTCAAACATTTTGGGAAAATGTATGAGGTCGAAATGAAAGATCTGCTGCCACTTATCAAGATGTAAGTAATGTACCTAGAGTCTGGTGTTTCTGATGAATCAAAATCACTATAGGATGATGTCTTCTCAGATAATATTATTAGCTGATATCACTCCATCCATAGTTTCAACGTGAGTAAAGAAGATGGAAATAAAAACCAACAAAACAAGTATCGAGAATCGGAAGATCATAGATTATGGTTGTGTTCCATCAGTACTGCCAAAGTAATTCCGAAATGACATGAACATTCAAAGCTACTGCTACTGTTTAGTGTTCCTGAGTCGCTAACTGTGGCCAGTTATGTCAGTAATATCGAAACATTACCGGTATCTAACAATAAAAACTCATCATATGCTGTCATGATCATGGCTACTATATATTAATTGGTTCCATGAGTTCCAAAATTTTATTTTAGAGTTCTACAGAACTACAATGATCAAAATATAACGGGTAGCCACGAGGATCAGGCCGGCCCTGTAACTTTTGGATCGTTTGAGATGAAATTTCGGAATTTGGAAGGTTCGAATGCTCTTGAAATTTATTGAGACGCTTTCACAAATTTTCATGAGGTCATCAGAGTTTTGAAACTCTTCAAATCAGTATTGGTTTCTCGATTTTTGATTTCTATAATAATTCGTCTGAATGAAGGAGATCTAGTCCGATGAGAGAGAATGGCTAAGACAAGGAAAAACCCTCGGGAATCGACTTAAATGACACCCATTAAACCAACTGTCTGCCTGAACCTTCGGGGTATTATGTGTTCGTCTTCATTATTACATGATTCCTTCTACATTTATGGCTAATTGTTAGCCGCCTTCATATCAGAAATTCGCATAAATGGGTATTTCAATAAGAAGTGATGGGTGAGGATGCGTAGATATATTTATATATATTATCGAAATATATAATTCAATCGACGAAAAACAGCCAACATTATGCGTCTTCCTGGATCTCGCCAAGGCTTTCGATACTGTGGATCATCTGCAGTTGTTGGAGGCTTTGGAGAATGCAGGTATGCGTGGTAGAACTCTCTCACTTTTCGAAAGCTATTTGAATGCTAGGACACAGATAGTAAGAATCGGAAATGCACTCAGCACTGAAAAGAAAGTGACTTGTGGAGTACCACAAGGCACGGTATTAGGTCCACTATTGTTTTCAATATATGTCAACAACCTTCTTACTCTGAACATCAAAGGGAAAATATATAGTTTCGCAGACGATACTGCGAGTCTATATACAGCGCCAACTTGGTCAGATCTGAAATTGAAGACGAAAAGGGATTTGGAGCGAATTATCGATTGGTTCAATCACAAAGTATCAACAGTAAATTTTGAGAGAACATTTTTTTTTACCTTTTGCGAGTTATAAATCCTCACTGCCAAACTTTCAGACTCTGGATATCCAAAGCCAGAATGAAATTATCAGAATAAAGAGAGCAAATAGTGTTAAATATCTTGGAGTTACCATAGACCCAAATCTCAAATGGAATGAACATATTAGTAATGTAACTGATACATTGAGAACAATATTGTTCAAATTCAAACAGTTATATAAACTTATAAATATTAGATATTTGAGAGTTGTATATTTTGGTCTCGTCGAATCCCGTTTACAGTACGCAATACTTAGCTGGGGTGGCACATATTATACACATATGCAGAAAGTAGATATACTACAGAAGAAAATTCTATAAATAATGCTTGGGAAACCAAAGACCTACTACTCAAAATGTACATTCACTGATGCAGAAATAATGAATTTGAGAAAATTATACATGTTCAGTATGATCATTTATTTGTATAAAAACAAATATACATTACAGATAATCAATCATCCCTATCTAACTAGAACACAATCGAAACACTATGTGACAACAAATGCAACCGAAAAGTCCATAGGGCAAAATTTTCAATACTTAGCTAATAGGATTTTCAACTATTTACCAGAAACTTATAAAATGTTTATTCTTGAAATCAATTCAATCGAATATATCAAGAAAAAATTTAAAGTATACTTACTGGAGCTAGACATTGACATTGTAGCTTGTATCATAGAAATGTAGAAACGTACATAATATATAATTATGGCTCAGGGCATATGCTAGTAGACTCTTTTTTTTCATACATCTCATGACAACCTGCTGAGGTTTTATGGGTTTGGTTGTTTATTTAATACAATATAGATCAAAATGATCGAAAATTCTACTCATATACTTTGTCATTTGTTATTTTTTTTCATCTTACTTTTGCATTAGGAATTCTTGTATTAATAAACATATATTATTATTATTATTATCAAAATCCCTGTTACCATACAATGGTGTAGGGTGGGTCACATGATTAATACGATGATTATTCAATATTCCACAGGCTTTCATTAACAAATTTGGCCCATTCCTTTTCATTTCTTGTCATACGCTTTGCCTCTTTCCATGTTCTCCTTTTTTCCTTAAGATTTCTCCCATAGCTCCGTCCCATGTTCCTTTTGGTCTTCCTCGTTTCTTCCTATTTTATATTTTTGCTTACCCCACCTGTCATACCGGCCTTGTATCGTTTATTTTTTGTAAGTGTCCTTAGCAGCTCATTTGACGTTTTTCTTTGAATTCGAGTGTTGATTTTACCTCTAGTTCTCCTTTTATTCTTATATTTAAAATTCTATCTCTTCTTATTGTTACCCCTTTAACTCTTCTCAGATATTTCATTCCCATGGCTTGGAATTTACTTTTTTGTTTCTTATTCAAAACCCAGGATTCACAACCGGATGTCAGGATTGATTTATGAATTGTTTTGAATACATTCATCTTTGTTTCTCTCCTTTATAAATGACTTGTTCATTGCATGAAAGAAGTATGCGTAGATATTTGAGAAACATCATTTCCTCTTTTGACAGAACATATCCAATCTATTTCTCTACCAGAAATAGTTTCTTCTCATTGTATTATGTGAGTTATTTGAAAGAATTACTGTGATTCTAAAAAACGATGACCAGAAAATAAGTACTGATGCAAGCTTCACTGAACTTTGAATTTTATCCTTCTGAAATCTCTACAACAATCCGAATAAACTTCCATCAAACTTATATAATATTTGGTACTATTATGAAATATCGATGAAACAATCAGAGTGTGTGTTGTTCCACTCCTTTACAAGGAAAATGTTGAAAGGTTGAATATCGGGCGGCATTGTACAGGGTTGAAAGTTCGAAGAACTCAGTAGTCTCTTCGGGCTATATGGTTGGCATTATGAAGAAGAAAAATGGAAGATTGTTAGTGATATATATTACAAATTGAATGATAAATATGAGAATTCCAATTTACCAAAACTCGAAAAGACTTTCATCAAATAGTTTCTAAATGATATATCCGATGAATCCCAAGAAAATTTATCAATGTCATCAACAATGATGAACTGCAACTTCTCAATTTCTCATATATGTAGATGCGAATACAAAAATTGACACCTAATGATTCCAATCATCAAATATGAAACAATGAAACCAACGTCATCCAATCTAAACCCAATTTTCAATTCTGAATCTCTATCTGAACGTTAGATTCATGTAATCCTGAATCTCTTGCATCTTTCATAATCAATTCAACATGTTTTCAACATATTTACAATATAAACAAAAGTGAGTATGCAACTGTGAGCTCAAACGACTTTCTATGCAAGAAACAAACACATTTTCATCTGATAGTGTTGAATATTGTCACGAGTAGAACATACGGTATATCAGTAATTTCTAACCATGAGGGTTTTATAAACATAAAGTAAATCATCCGTTGACATTGAATTATAAAAACTGACCAAGGAACTTTCATGGGAAACTTGCATTTCTAATAAAATGATGTATATAAATATTGGATCTGAGGGTTCCGAAGTTAGTCTGGTCTGGGGCTACTCTTGACTTGACAAGAGCTCGTCGTTATGGTCTCTATAATGTAAGTTGTTATTAGGTCTTCATATTCATTGTTGTTTATTCATAATAATTGTTATCGCTACCCATAATGTTTCATGCTATTATAAATATTGTTATGTTTGAATGTAGTCTCGTACTTTCAGTTACCCCAAAACTATTAGTGCCCATCAGAATATTACCTCTCACCTACAACTCTTTTGTTGTGACAATATATATTCCATATTTGAATCAAACCACTCAAAACTTTCGACACTATGTTGCAAATTTACTTCAAGACTTCAGTCAGTCAATCTGAAAAAAATTATGTTGACACTCAAAACACTTTCGACTATATATATATATATATATATATAGTCTGACGTTACAACTACATGAGGTTTTGAAGATTGCCATCTCGTTCCGCAGTGTTTTCAAGAGAATATTTCTATAAATATGTTGATTTACTAAGCTATCTCATTCTCTCTATCAACTACATTGTACTCATGCTGAAGTGTTGTCTGATGAATCGAATCTACATGATTTTTACCTCAAAAAAAGCTCAATTGAGGTAATCATTTGTGTAGGTGAGCATAAATCATGAATAATGAATTGCAAAATGTGTCGAACCATTTGAACATGCTCTGGACATCTAATCAGTGAAAAATATCTCTTCACTAAACTTATGGATTTGGAATTTCTCAGGCTTTCTGGATATACTGCTAAATCAGGTCGGATCTTCAAAACATGATTCAATTTATTCAACTATCGCTTTTAATTATTCTGGGGCATCACAAGTGGAGCATTTTCTATTCAGTCCACCAGCCATCATTGAATCTATTCAGTTCGAATTGAGAATAAAATACCCATAGCAGTCGTACGGGGACTAAATCGTAAATGAGCTTCGAATAGGATGATACATTAATCAAGAAACTCTCAGAACAAAAAGAATTATCGATGTTTTTTTATTTTTTAGGAGCCAGTGCTTCTAGAGGTGTTTCTGTGACCATTCCTGCCGCAGTCAAAATCATGGATACTGTCACTCTCCATTGCAAGTATGACCTAGAGGGAGAACCCTTGTACACAGTCAAGTGGTACAAAGGATCCAAGGAATTCTACAGATACATACCTAAGGAACTACCCAATACTCAGATGTTCCCATTGCCAGGAATTATGGTCGATGTGAGTAAAAAAATATCATTTTTTGTAGATGAAAACTAGTTCAATGGGAGATTGGTATTGGTATCAGTAGGTTCCGAAAGATAGTGTCAGTAATGTGAATTCAAATATTGATATCATCATTGCTACGTTTGGTGATATTTTTGTATCATGAGAGGCTGCCCTTCATGATGATTGAATAAAAATGGAATTATGTTTAGTTTAAAACTACATTTGTACTACATAAACATTACATTTAGTGGGTAATGTAGCGTGGTGAGCACAAGTGCTTATAAATATAGGTGATGAATCAATATAGCACACATCGAAGAATAACAAAGTTTCGTCGAAAAAAACAACAAAAAAGTTAACATCGAATAGTTATCATTGTACCATGAGCCCAAATATCAACATATCAACATGTAAATACGGTCAACTTCAGATTCAATTCCATTTTAGGTTTAGAAGGGCGTTCGTGATAATTCCTCAGTTGAATAAAAGCACTGCTTCACAATGAGTTTCCCTAGTAGATTTTCGAAGTGAGGATAGTCAGTATTGGTCAATTTGGTTGGAAATACATTATAGAGCTTCAAATTTATGGATTTGTTTTGTGATTGCGCAAGTCGGTATCTTGGAATTTGCATTTGATTAGCAGAACTAGTGTTGTATCCATGATCATCACCCTGAACCGTAAATTTACTTTTGTCTTTATCGATTTCCAGCATCAAACAATAGATACAGGGTGATTCACGGTGGATGGCCCATTAGAAATATATGGAGAACGAAAACACAGAACATTCTGAAAATCAGGATGCTTTGATAATTGTACATCCTCTATCCATCTGAAATGTTTTCTTCGATACAGTGCTGCAACATTTATCAGCAACAACTAGCAACTTCGTTTTCTTAAATGAAGCACCCTGTATTCTATTGCATTTTTAGATTCTCCCTGGAGAGATGATTCCATTCATGCATCACACTTGGGGTCTAGCAGAAATGATTATAGAGATATAGGGTGATCAAAATCGAGATTTTTCAATTTCAGGATTTCTTCATGTCGAGACCATTCATCATCTATCAAAACGGCTAGAGAATGTTTATATATCGAAGCATCATAATTTTCAGAATATTCTGTCATTTCGATCTCCAGATACTTCTAATAGGCCATCCACCGTGGATCACCCTGTATATAGCGATGGCTGAGGCATTATGGAATATTTAATGAATAGCGGTTGGCAGAACTGACGGGTGCTTGCACCAGCAATGACTCGTATTGCCCACTTCTGCAAAAGGAAAATCTCTATAGCGTTAGCAGCATTACCCCAAAGAATAATTCCATAACTCAAATGCGGGTGGATCAGGAAATAAACGGACAGAAGAGTTTTCTCATGAGAGCTTTTTTTGAGTTTTCTCAGTTGAAAAATATATGAACAAACTTTGATACTGATATGAGTGATATTAGTAGTCCAATTCAGAGAATCATCTAGGTATATGCCGAAAAACTTGGCACTTCCACCCTCGCAGTGATGTCTGTTGTTCGAGAAAATCCGTTTATGTGTCTTGTCCCGATTCAGTTTCAATTTATTAGCAGTGAACCATTCCTAGATTGGCAATGCTGCAGTCGCTATTGATCAAGGAAGAGTCATCTGCGAACATGACTAGTCTATTTGGAATTAAATAATAAAAAAGAGCGTTCACATAGGTGATAAGAAGTAACGTTCCGAGTACCGAACCTTGGGGTATGCCATGTTCAATAAATAAATAAAGTCAGATGTGTTGTTATCAAACATAACACGCTGTTCTTTGTTCTTCGAGTAAGACCTCATTGAAATGTGAATTTGAAGCATGTCCCTATTGATAGACCTTGGGGATTCAAAGTTGTGTGTGTTATTTCATCGTTATAAAAATTGAAAAATCGAAAACCGTCTTCAAACAAAGTAGATATCGATGAATATTTCATTTGCAGATGCAGAAAAGCTCTTCAAATAAGGTTGTCCTGAAGAATGTCCAGCTGGAAGTTTCTGGTCGGTATAAATGTGAAGTTTCATCAGATGCTCCCAATTTCTATACCTATATGGAGTCTGGATACATGTACGTTATCGGTAAGTTCCAACCAAGTTTTCTTCATAAAACAATAATCAGTATTGTACAGGGTGGCCAACTAAGAATCCAGAGTTCGATACCTCTGTTGTCTTGAGAGATACAAAAAAAAGTTTAGCATTCAAATTAAAGTGATAACCGAGCTTCACATTTCAAAATGTCTTTGAAATACACAGGGTGTTCCGTAAGGTCACAGCACATCAAAGCTATGTTTTTTTCATTGGAACACCCTATATTTCATTCCATTTTTGAATTCTCCCTGAAGATCTGATTTCAACGACGTATCATACTTATCGTCTAGCAGTGAAAGTTACTGACATAATAGGGTGTGCAAAATCGAGATTTTCCAAGTTCTGGATTTTTTTCTGTCGAAACTGTTCATTATTCGTCAAAACGGTTTACATGTCCCTATCTCAACTTTTCACTCGCTATCAATTGGTGTTCAATTGACATTTAATTGAAACAAATTATTAATTTAGATTTTTTGACCACCTTGTATCAATTTCAATTGAACACCAATTGATAGTGAGTGAAAAGTTGAGATAGGGACATGTGAACCGTTTTGACGAATAATGAACAGTTTCGACAGAAAAAAAATCCTGAACTTGGAAAATCTCGATTTTGCACACCCTATATGTCAGTAACTTTCACTGCTAGACCCTAAGTATGATGGGTCGTTGAAATCAAATCTTCAGGGAGAATTCAAAAATGAAATAAAATATAGGGTATTCCAATGAAAAAAACATAGCTTTGATGTGCTGTGACCTTACGGAACACCCTGTGTATTTCAAAGAAATTTTGAAATGTGAAGCTCGGTTATTACTTTAATTTTAATTCATGATTATTTTCTGTATCTCTCAAGACAACAGCGAAATCGAACTCTGGAGTCTTAGTTGGCCACCCTGTATATGCCAGTGTTCTTGAAGCAAATATCAGAAGTTTGCTCGAAAATTTCGAATTCAGTCATTATACTTTTTGATACCAAGCAGATTAATTTTCGTGTTAAAGTATTACAATTATCAATATGTTATCTATTGATATCAATTCATCATTTGCATATAATATGTTCGACAATAGAATATATTTGCTGAATTATAACCTCTAATATGTGATGATGCGTGGAGATTGGGATTGGATCAAAATCTGAATAATGTTAATATAATTATCTCATATGTTGCACAAAATGCATCAATTTCCTGGACCCGCTTTTCCAATAACGCCAATTTCCATCAATAGAAACTCTGCATTGTCCATCAGATCATTATTCACAATTATTATCACATAAAGTGACATCGATGACGAAGCAGAATTCAATAACGAAATTGACTGGATTTCATTAAAAATAACATGTTGTATATGTATATGTATATGTATATGTATAACATTATGTATGGATCCATCCAATAACGAATGAAATTTTGGATTCTCATTCATATCATATCACTCCAAGACAAACGACTCTTTCGTAGTACGAATACAATTGACTATGTTCACCTTATGCAACAATTTTTTGGAAATAAAGCGATACAATTCTCATCGTATTTCTGATAACAGGACATATTCGCTTTTTTTATCTCATGATATAATGTACCTGAACAAGTTGGTTGAATATCATACCTATCTGACCAATATATACCGCGTCCATTATGAATATGTCTAGCATGGGGATAAGGAACCAGAAGAGATACGAATATGGTTGATTCAAAGTAAAATTGCGTATTTTCAAGCCTACCAATATATCGTTAAGCCTGATTAACCGAAATTTGGTAATTCATTTCATTTTCATCTGATGACGTTATTTGGAGATATATAGGAAAACGAGAGACACTTTCAAATTTTGCAACTTTAGAAGCTCTATTGAACAGCGTCAGTATGATGCAAATGTATGGAATAAAATCATTATTTCAGAAATGGGCGACATTTGAAGAAATTCCAAAAACACGTGAGTTTTAATCTTTGAAGCCTCATCTCATGACATTCATATGAGAGATGTTATACGTCACTGGTGTTGGAGTAATGACGTAATGGACGATTTTTTCAAATACAAACAGTGGTCATGTGACACCTCGTTTGAAAGGTCTACTGATCGTCTATCCAACAGTCAGAATTTTGCATAAGAAGATTGAAATTAAAATGGATTATCATTTGGTTAACTGAATCTTGCAGAGGTCTGCTACTGAGAATTGAACATCGAAGGCTGAATACACAATAAAAAAAGTTCTGAGCTCTAGTTCTTGGATTTTTTTCGGGAGTCGTCTTGTTTTGAAATGAATTTATTAGATACATTTGCATCATACTGTATATTATCCGTACGACATTTCGTTTCGGACAAACCATCCTCATCTTGGACATACTGTATACCTTGGGACAAGATCCAGACTTCAGTTTGGATACTCCTCATTTTGAAAATTTTCAATTTGTTTCCTTGACAAGTATTTGTTCTGATAACATGCCATGTATTCTTTGTTGAAAAACTCACATACGGTGGCTGAACGTTCTACCAGTCTCACTTTATGCAAATTGATACGTGCAAGCAGGTATGGGCAGTCAATACGCGAGACTTAGATCATTTGTGAAAATAAAATTCTCGAATATGTCCGACGTTCTTCTAGGGAGTTGACTTGAGATCTAGAAAGAAGTATATCGTGCGGTACAACCCGTATCGAATAAGAGCCATCACATCTGAAACTGATCAGAAATCACCTCTGAATGTTCTTCAAACTCTCACTATACGTGATGTATCCAGGATTCCAGACAACGCAGCCATATCCTAACCTTGACCTCACAAGCGCATCAAAATGGAGTGAGTAGGTTCAAATCCCAGACAACCATTTGGAATTTCTGATAATGAAACTCAGTGTTTTAAAACCATTCGTGACAACAGTGTTCACGTGGTGAGAAAACGTGAGTTTCGAGTCGAAGATCATGCCTAGATCTCCGAACTAAAATGGTAGATAACGAGAGAAAGACAACTCCTTTCCTGGCTATATGCCATGCAAGACATATTGTATTACATCCTCCTGACATCTATGCAATAATTCGTATAGACGAATAAAATCGCAAATGTTTCCTTCGTAAACGCCAAACTGTGCTTGAGTGACCGGTTTCGAGCTGTTGGCTCTCATCAGTCCTGGGCTGTCCCAGATAGCTTCTTGACCGCGGACAATGTGCAATGTTCTGCGTGACATATAGCCAGGAAAGTAGTTGTTTTTCTCTCGTTATCTACCATTTCCGTTCATTTTCTGAACTATTGTGATAATGACTTTGAGTTTTTCTCTTCTTGATTGTCTGATATAGTCGAGCTATCAGTCAGGCAAGACAATACAGTTTTTCGCTGAGGTGCTCATCACATTTTTTCGTCGACTTCAAACACTTGAATTCACATCATGGTCCTATTCACATGTTTTATCTATTGGATTTCGTTAATAATTGATTTAACAACAGCAAATGACACTTGTTGTCAAATCAATCTCCGCGCATACCCAGTGTTGCCAGTTCGATTTTTATTTCGTCAGTAGAGACCATGTTAAACATACAGTAGATTTCAATAGATCTGTTCAAGATCTATTTATGTTATAGGAATTTCAAGAAAGAATGAAATAGATCTATTACATCAAAACAGTTTGTACTTAGTAGTAAACAGAAAAGTAACACATATCCAACAAAATAGAAACGAACAAGATGAACATTCTCATACAAAAATAATCATATTCCTAATCTTTATTTCGAAAATACTCACAAATATATAACAGAAACAGTTGAATAGGTATCCATGAGATCTGATTATATAAAAAGCACTAAAAGCAGGAAAATGTGTGTGAAAATGAACAACAAAAATACAAAATAAAATGAAAAAAAATTTACGTAAATAACAAACATTCATAAAAGAGGTATATAAAAAGTTGAATTTGATCTGAATCAGATGAAGTACTGTCTTTTTTCGGTTAATAAAATATCATAAGTATCCTTATGTGAATTCCTCACTCATTTAGTAAAATTAATTCAAATATAGCGTGCCGAAATATCATGCAATTCATAAGTGTATGTAATCAACTGAAGAATAATAATAATAAAGGTGATTATAATAATGAATAAGTGTCGAAAAATTTTGTTCAGTAGATTATGAAATCTTTCAGTAGATCAATCGATTAATATGCAAATCAGGAGATCTTCTGAAAATTCAATGAAACTGGCAACGCTGCAGCGGAAGGAAAGTGTTTTCAGACAGAAAGTTAGTGTCTGCGAACAAAAAATACCTGCCTTCGGAAATAGTCGGTTTTTCGTTCGGAACTCAGAACGTTAAATCTGATTTTTTGTAGAGGTTGAGTGAATTTTTTTGTTTATTTTTCATGTTCTGGTTCCCACGAAGAGGGATATCCTGTAATGTTGAGTAAACATCTTCGGAACTTGAACGAATATAAGCATATTTTCAGCGATTGATTTAATTAATTGTTACCTCTGACATGTAGCGAAAGTCACGTGACCCCGAAAGAGTAGTCCATTTTTCGAATTATTCCAATTAAAACTCAACGCAATGAATTATCATCGAAAGTTTTCCCCATATGATGCCGACCTTATGAATGACACTGTATACATACCTATATTTATGTATTTTATTCTGATTGATCTCTTTCGATTCCGATAAAGGGAATGTTCAATCAAGTCCCGACATAATCATACAGAAAGTATCAAAGAGTAGCAATCTATGCTTCAGTGCTTTCAATTTTATAGAAAAACGTATAATGCGAGCAGCAAATCCCAAAATGCCATGCCAACCAGAGAAACTCCAAAAAAACTCGACGCTGTACTGAAGCCGATTCCTGATATTACTTCAACATAACCTGACTATGCACTGCATGAAATCAACAATTTATTGTGCTACAGCAGCTACAGTAAACGTCAAAGCGGTGATCGAACATGTCTGGTTCAATCTCGATACACACATACAAATGGCGCACCAAAACACTTCTATCAGCATCGAGTTTTCCTACAGGGTGATACC